TATATTATATATCATAATTATATAATATATTATATAATAATATTTTTTTTGTATTATATTAAATATAATAATAACTATATATTATATTGTAATTATATATATTATATTATAGCATAATATAATATAGTCGTAATTTTTAATTATCCACGACAATTCAACCTCATAATTTATCAAACGCTATTACGCTGATCTTGAAACCAGCACATCTACTATAATTATAGTTTACCAAACACTAAGCTGTTTTTTGTAACAGCTGATTTTTCTTTCAGCACAACTAAAAGCAATTTTTTCAAAATTTACAGCACTATCAAACTAAGCCTTAATCTCAAAACTGCTTTTTCAGTCGGTACAACAAACGTGATTATTCTACAATCTAGAACATTACTAATCTGGCTCTTGATAAATTTGTGAGTTGTGAGAGTTATGAGATTTGGACTGGTAAAATGTGCTGGTCAAAAGATTCTAAAGTCACCCTTGCAACAACTAGAAAAAGGAAGAATGATATTTTTAGTGAAGTTTAAGTGGATGCAAAGTTAATCCTTTTATTTCTCTTCACCATTCAAAACATGACATGTAAGACAGTAGAAATATTGCCTAGTCATGAGTTTGTTTTACCAAATTTTCCAAAAAAGAAAGAGAGTGCTCTTACACTTTAGCTTTATTGCAGTGACCTTATATGAAATCATCATGTCTATCGTTTAGTGGTACTTTGCTCAGTAACTTTAGAGCAGCAATAGATGAAGTGAAAAGGGGGAAATTTTTTTTTTTTTTTTAAGAGATATTCAATTTGTCAAATAAAAAGGCTTTTTTGTTTGTTTGTTTGTTTGTTTGTGTGTGTGTTCGTCATTGGTACATGCATAATACATTGTTTAGATTCATGAATATTGGAAATCTAATTCATCTAAATTCTAAAGTACATATTCTGTACTTCAAAGAAATAATTTGATCATTGACTAAAAATCCATAATGGCAAAACTTCAACATTCTCTTTAGCTGAATCAATGAGGACCAAACCTTTTCTTCAGCTTTGAAAGCTCCTTAGAATTCAACCCAAAAGCCTTCTCCAAAAGCTCATCTTTAATCCCAGATCCAAATACTGCTGCTGGAATTCTCTGCAATCCGGGATTTTGGCTATTAAAACTCCCAAGTATAGTGGCTGGAGAATCTCCCGCATTCATTTGAAAATGCACCAATCCCTTTGGAAACACCATGACTTCTCCTTTCTCAATCACTTTCGCGAAAATCTTGTTGTTCGTGTCAACGAAACCCGAATAGACCTTTCCTTCAAGCACAAATGCTGTCTCAGTAGCTCTTGGATGGAAATGTGGCACGTTAACACCACCAACTTCAAAGTCAGCTCTTACAAATGACATCCCCAGTGTGTTAAGCCCCGGGAAGACGTTCGAGGTGACTGAAGTTGCGGAAAGCCCTGTCGGGGAAAATTTCCCGGGAGACTTGATTCCCGAATACACAAAATCTTCTACGGTTGCAGTGGATGAGTTCTTGCAGTGGATGGTGTTGGCTGAAGAATTCTCCATGTCGGATATGCAGAAGTCCTGGACAGGATCTGGATCAGAAGCCAAAGTGACATACTTGTTGAGAAAGATGAAATATAAGAATACTAGTGTTTTGGGAAACATTTGTTTTGGAATCTTTGTTAGTGAAAAACAAGAACAGAAGAGAAGGGTGTTTTAAAGAACTGAATTTTGCAACATATATAATGCATAAATACAAGATGCTGAGTAACAAATATATGCATGCCTATTCAAGTTTCAAACACAAATTAGCAATGTATCTGGGATACTATTTATTACTATATTTATGGAGGAAATGTCCTTATTACGATTTACTTTGCTTGGGAAGTAAGAGAAGAGAAAGAGGATTAGTTTGGTCCACTAGAACAGCCTTCACCAACTAGTTTTGCTTTTTATCTTATTTTATTCAATGTTTTATTTGGGCTGCATTGCTTTTAGTAGAGAAGTGGTTGTAGTCATATAAAAAAGATTTGTTTTATCCCTATTCATGGATTCCATTGTATTGCAATAAGCGTATTTTTAAAGTAACAAAATGCAACCATTATCTCTAGTCAGCACATGAACCCCATAATTGTTGCCAAGTATTTATAATAGATTTACCCATTTCGTTCATGTGTGTGTTTTTTTTTAAAGAAAATTATTCTTATAGTAACTCTTGAAATTTAAGGGCAATTCTATTTTATCTCATGAACTTTAAAAACAAACAGAAAAAGACGACATATTTATTTTTTAACACCCTCTTTTTATATATATTTTTTAATAGAAATTCTACCAATGAGAGACTAATTTAAAATTCAAGAGGCACAGCAAGAAATTTAAAAGCTCACGAGGTAAACTGAGAATGACTTCTGAAAAGAAATGAAATTAACCGCTTTTTTAATGAGAAATAGAGTGCTACATTTCTCAAGGACGCAACAACTTTCTCATTGGCCCTCTGCCTTAACAACATCACATCTGCAGCATTAGCTTTGCTCACCTAGCCCCAGTATAAATTATAATGAGAATTATGTGGTAGCGTATGAAAGAATACCTTGCTTTCATAATACCATGCTTGACCTGTTAGATCACTTTAAAATCATATCAAATCAAGAACAGCATGAAAATTTAATAGAATTGAATAAAGATATGACATTAAAAACAATGTTCGACCAAATACCATTACACAAATTGCTCCAATTATAATATGGTAACTTTATCATATTACCCCCTCCAAGTTATCACATGGTGCAGTCGTATTTTAGCATTAAAATGCTAGAAATTAAAATAAAATAAAAAAGTGTCTACACTACGGAATAAACAGAGGAAGCAAAGGAAAAGGAATACACATTTTCAGGGCCAGGGCAGATCAAACTTGTGGCTATGCATGCATATAAGTCACAAGAGCAACATACACACCTAATCTCCAACAAAACAAAAGGAAGATTAATCTTCCAATCAAATTATAGACGTTTTTCATGAGTTAAAAATACGTTTACATATACATTGAGCCCAAAAAAATGTTTACCCAAAAAACTATAAAAAAATAAAAAATAAAAAACAAAAAACAAACTTTTGCGTGTTGCATACTTCATTTCACCAAATAGCTAACTTTTTGGTGCTTTCCTAAACTTCTAGAAGACAACCAAATAAAGAGAAAATAAAACAAGGCTAGTTCAGTTTTTGCAACAGAATATCAACACAAATTTAGAGTCGCAAGACACAAAGAAGATCCAGTACCTGAAAAAAAAAAAAAAAAAAAGAAAAGAAAAAGAAAACAGAAACTTTGTGAATGTTGCCCTTCTTAGCTGACTTGAAATTTATCTTTAGCAACTAACCATTATCTTTAGCAAAAATGCACTTGAGAAAGGCCAATACTTCAGTATCAATGTCTTTTGATTCCACATCAATGTTGAGAATGATTTTAAAAATTTCAACAAGCAATCTGGTGATTCACAGAATGCAATGCAATTTAAAAAAAAAAAAAAAGTGTTGTCAAGCATGTGGATTACAAAATATAATGCAAAACTAAAGTTCAATCATAAGTTGCAAAACCTTATCTTAGATCCGTCTTCCTTCACATGTTTTTGAGTTCCAACATCAACATCAAACCGAAGTCAACGAAACTAAAAGGCAGACCATCGATATGGTATCTTCGTGGCATTTTGGTAGACGGGAGGTCTAAAGTTCGAAAATTAAACCAGTAAAAACACCAACGACAGCAAAGAAGGAAAAACCATCGAAAGATTTAACAACATTAATACGACACAGTCTTAAGTGCTTTCATCAATTCCCTTGGAATTAATATAGGCCGGAGCATACTAGTAGTGCAGCTCCGAGTTATTTTTCGATAAGTACTAGATATTTAACGTGAAACAAACTTGATGAATATGTAATTCTTTATGAACAAGCCCGAAAATCACAACCAACTTCATGTTCGAGGGCGCAAATCATAGAGTTCATCATATGGAAGCCACATTGTCGGTAGTTGCACGAACCCAACTAAAAGCAATTGTGCTCCTGACACTATGAATCCCGTCGCTCCACTGAATCCAACCAAATCTCGCGAGCTTACCGTGCCCACCAGTCGGCGAGAATGTAATCTCATATGTTTGTGTCAGATTATTTGCGTCGAACACAAGCTTCTTTGGTGAGACAGTGATTTTAACACCAGCAGGTTGAACCCCGGTCGCAGAATAAACGGCGTCGACATTGGTTCCCACATTTGTAACAGTTCTCCTATACTTTACTGTCTCTACTTGATCATTCTTGAAAACCACGGAAAACGATGGAAGGTTTAGATCCCCGGGTGTAACTCTAGCCCCAAGTGCGGCATACGTCTCTTCACAAATTTTCGGACTAACCGTTTGTGTAAAAAATATACTTATAAGTTTTGAACTATAGCCAATAGAGCAAAGGAACCCGACATAATCAGTGACACTCATGTCATATATCAAACCCGGATCAAGAGCTCTACTCGGGTCCACATGACCAGAGCCATGAGCAAAAGGCGTCGACGTCTTCCCCGTTGCGAGATCTTTTAATCTCTGCCCAGAATTATCAAGATTGTAAGCAGTTGTCATGAGGGCAGATTTTATAGCAGCCGGTGACCAACTAGGGTAGGCCTTTTTAAGCAAAGCACTGATACCACTGACGTGTGGACAAGCCATTGAAGTTCCTGAGATTACATTGAACTCAACACGTCTGGGATCGTTACCCCCCCGCGGACCGGTGGCATTAGTCCAAGCAGCTAAGATGTTGAGACCCGGAGCTATAACGTCGGGTTTGAGAATTTGAGGCGTGAGCGGGTTCGGGCCACGGCTAGAAAAGGTAGCAACTTTTGGAGCAGGAGGAAAAGTACTCCCATTCACGGTTCCACGGAACAAAATGTTTGCAGTAGGATTTTCGCTCGATTGGAGGTACCTTTTTATTTCATTTCCATCAGTCATACTCACCCGAGTTGCTGGCCAACGGTGTTGCTCAGCTCGAAGCTCTTCCCCGTACTTTCTGTTATTCAATATTATCGCTCCACGGCCGGTAACATTTGCCACCGCATACGCCATATCGCTACTACTAGTATCCCCTTGTTCACAAACAATGATTTTGCCAGCCAGTTGGTCTTGCTTGTTGAATTGGCCGACTTTGCAAAAGACATTCCCAAAATCGCCTCCGTAGACTAGTTCATACTGATCGGTGAATGGGAAAAAAGGTCCAGGATAGAGGGATGCTCCGAGAAAAGTTCTATTATCGCCGAGAACCACGTCAGCACGAAACTCCCTATCGACGCTGGAAGCGCCGACGGTAAGTACCCAAGGAGGGAGATGGTTGACGGTAGAGCGCGTAGGTCCCTGGTTTCCTCCAGAGACGGATACTAGAATACCGTGTTGCATAGCACCAAATGTCGCAATAGCTATATTATCTCGATAGTACGGCTTAGTTCCTCCAGATAAGGACATGGATATTATGTCGACTCCATCGGCAACCGCTTGGTCCATTCCGGCCAAGATGTCAGCAACTCTGCACACTTTTTTCGTCGCGCAAACTTTGTACACGGCTATGCGAGCTTTCGTGGCGATGCCTATGGCTTCCCCTTTGGCGTACCCATAAAAGCTTGCGTTTGAGACCACGGATCCTGCAGCCGTTGAAGTCGTATGAGTCCCATGGCCATATGTGTCTCTTGGGGAATTTGTAATTGCTGATAGGTTTAACGTTGATCCAGCTAAATTAGACATGTAATGTCCTGCAAGGAATGACCTTGCACCGATGATTTTTCGGTTACAAGATGAAGCTGGAAAGTCATTCCATGTCTCGCATGTGCCTTTCCAACTGGATGGAACCGGAGACAATCCTGCATCGGAGAAGCTCCGGTGCTCGGGCCAAATCCCGGTATCAAAAACTCCGATGATGATGTCTTCGCCGTAGTTGGAAGAAGGCCAAAGACCGGAGTCGGGGGAGAGTCCTAAAAATCGGTATGTATGTGTGATATGCAGTTCTTGGGCTTCGTCAGGCATGACAGAAAGAACTCCAGGAATATCTTCAAGCTTTGCAGCTTGGGAAGGAGTAAGGCTTACGGCAAAGCCATTAGCAACTCTCTCATATGTGTATAGGAGCATGGAAGGGTGACGAGAAATAGGTAGAGATTTTATGATGGAATTGTACCAGTGGAATTGAGAGGTGAAGAGAAGTGGTTTGTGTTGTTTTGTCATGTGAACAATGAATGTCATTGGATGATCTGAATCATCTGATAACGGGTTCGAAAAGGTTATTTGGATAAGACAGAAAAAGAGGAAAATGGCAATGAAAGAATTTGGATGATCAAATGTTGTAGCCATGACACTGGTATAGTTGTGTTTAATTTGCTGGGAAATTGGTGGACAATGGCATGGATTTCTTGGACATATATTGGGGTTGGAGACTTTATATTATCATTTCATTCCCTACTATTTAATAGTAGCAAACTTTTGAACTCCAATTATTATGTTGTTGCCTTATTTAACTCGTTTTACATGTTAGGTGGCACACATCACTTTCATACTCTTGGTCGATTTGATCAAGACTAGTACTGTCAACTTTAAATTTCTTTTTTCAAATAAAAAAGAAAGAAAAAAGAAAAGCGGGTAATGTTAGACATCTTTGATTTGGGGGTCATGGTGCTTTCATGGCGCGCGCACTTCGATTCATAAGTTTTACAACTTCAATGTTCAAAATTCGCAAGTAAATCGTCAGAATGCGCAAGTTTTTAATCTGTTTTTATGAACACAAAAAATTGTTCTGGATACTTGCATAATAAGAGAGACGAAAGTGATATTTGACAAAATACAAGGGCTGTTTTGGGTACTATCTTAATATAAAAATAAAAAATGAACAGATTAATTACAAAAATTCCTCTGAATTATGTCTCTTATAAATCGTCGGATGAACAAGTTTTTAATCTGTTCTTATAAAAACAAAAAAGTGTTCTAGGTACTTGCATAATAAGAGGGACAAAAGTGATATTTTGACAAAATAGAAGGGATGTTTTGGGTATTATCTTATCATAAAAATAAAAAAAATGAACGGATTAATTACAAAAATTCCCCCTGAATTATATCATTGTAACACTTTAGTACTTTACCTCATTAACTTTAAAACGTAACATCTATTCCCTTGAACAATGAAATGTTAACAAAAAAGCCCTCTCCGCTAGGTATTTTACTAAAATTGAAATTTAATTTGTTATTTTAAGGGTATTTTTTATTATTTTATGGCTTAAAATTTAATTTGAATTTAAACTAATTTAAATATTAAAAAAACATCAAAATTTTTTTATTCTACTAAAAAAAATTCATAAAATTTTTATCTTACATTCAATCAATAATTAAAAGTTCAAATTTAAATTAGTTTTAAATTCAAACTATATTTTAAACCATAAAACTATCAAAATACCCCAAAATGACAAATTACATGTCAATTTCTCTTAAAAAAATCTAACGGATGGTTTTTTTTTTTTTTTGACATTTCATTGTTCGGAGGTAACAGATGTTATGTTTCAAAGATTAGAGGGCAAAGTATTATAAGGGATATAATTTCGGGGAGTTTTTATAATTAATCCAAAATGAACAGAGTAGGGTAAAAAAGACATCAAATGTTAGCAAAGGTCATAATTTTTTAAGTTATCCTCAAACTTTCATATTTAGTTTATTCGTTCCTCCCAAAATTTGAAACTCTTGAAAAAATCCCACTTAGTCGAATCTCATTCCGTCAAGTTTGTAGGGGCAACAAGAAAAAATAAAAATAAAATAAAAAACCTCATGTGTTAATTTGTTTGGCTTCTTATTATGTTAGTTGTCTTTTTTAAGTTATACTCGTATTGTCATTTGTATAATCTGTACCCCCAAATTTTGAAATGCTTGCAAAAAATCTTGTACTATCATGTTTTCAGAGGAAAAAAAAAAAAACACCACTTGCATGTGCAAATTTTTGGCCTCGTAATTATATAGTGTCTATTTTAAGCTATCCTCAAACTTATCTCTACGATCCATTTCCCTCACAAATTATGAAATCTAATCTCTCTAACATGCATAAAAGAGGCCAAAAAAAAAAAAAAAAGTTTTCTTTGCTTCAGAAGAAGTCAAGACGTGGTCTCCTCTTTTTTTTTTTTTTTTTTTTATACTTTTGCTCCATTTCTTTTTTTTTTTTTGCTTTTTTTTTTTCTACAAGTGCTATGTGCTCCTAAGCATTTTAACCTTTTTATAACATACTTTTTTGAAATATTTTTCCCTTAGTTTATTTGTGTTAAAATAATTTATTTTATGTGACGACCCTCATTTGAGGCCGCCACTGTAACTAACTTTTTAACTTGTACTTACTGAAATTTCTTAAAATTTACGGAATATTTTTTTTTTTTAAAGGTCTTATAATAAACATAAGGTACGAAATTGCTTTCTTAATTAAAATATTCAAACCTTAACATATAAGTTTCAGAATCATAATTAACAAAACTATTTATAACATAAAGTTGATTGCGGAAATATTTGCGAGTGGTATCCATATCCCGAGCCCCACATCGTTCGTTCACTCGGCGGCAGTCCATCAGGCATTATATGCCGGTTGCTTACCTACAGTATAAACATTCTATAATGAGCTTTCGCTCAGCAAGTAGGAACTATCTCCCGCAAAATAACTGTAAGTTCACATGAATAAATATGCATGAGCCAATTATGCTTAATTATGATGTCTTATCAGAATCTTATTATCTTATCTTATCTTTTGGGCCCGAGTG